TGTGTTGCCTGCGGGAGCTGGCAACTTAGCAGGCTCTGCTGGGGCTGCAAGAGGTTCATACCTGTTGCAAAGCTCCAGTGGGGCGGGGGCCTTGATGCGGTGGGCCTTGGGGCCCTTGACCACCTTGGTCCAGCCCCTGGGCTGGACAGTAAGGGAGGTCCCTGAGTCCTCCCTTGTCCTGGAGGAAGACCATCGTCTACCCTCTGTCTCCCGGGGGAGAAGGGCCTGGCAGTAGGAGTCAATCTCCTGCTTGCAGTCCCTGATGGCACGCAGTCTCTGGACAGCAGCCTGGAACTCCTCCAGCTGGTGCGCCAGAGACCCCAAAAGGGAGCAGACCTCACAAGGGGAGGTGGCCATGCTCCCAGGCCCCAGAGCCTGAAAAAGCAACAGGCAGCCCCCGCAGCTGACAGCCAGAGGCTCCATCTGCGTGGAGCCTGGAACCATGGGCTCCGGCTGGCTGGCAGTCTCTGAGGTGCCAGAGGTGGGGCTGCAGACCCCTCGGGTACCCGTAGGGTGCAGTGCGTGCCCATCTGCGTCATGCCACTGGTAGGCCAGCTGCGGCTGGGACTGTCTTCCCTAGAGGGCTCATAGGCAGGGCCTTGGGCCCTTCCGTGTGCCCTCCTGTGCAAACTCCCATGCTAACTTGCGCGCCGGCCCCAGGAGCATGTCTTTTTGCGCGGCCTGTTTGTGAGGCTCCGGTCGTGCGGCTCCCTGGGGGGGCTGCGCAAAGTAGTGGGGGGGGGGCATGACCCTCCTCTGGCCCACTTAGCCCACTCCCAGCTGACTAGGTCCCTCCCTCCACAGGCCCCTGCTTACCTGTGGCAGGCTGGGGCTCATTGGGGTTCCTGGGGTCTCGCTGGGGGTCCCTAGGCTCACGGGGGTGCAGCAGGCTTGCACCCGCGTGTCTTGCACTGGAGCCAGGGACTGGAATGAGGTTTTTGCCGTTGCCAGGCCCTTTTTAAACTGCGCGCATGTGCAGAAGGGCCAGCCAGTGCCTCCCTGATCTCGGGGGGGCTATAGGGGTCCCTCCCCCCCACTGAAGGAAGGAGACAGGTAAAAAACCTCCCCCTTAACCCGGCTCATGTGCCGGTAGCTGGTCAGGCAGCTCCCTGCGGGGCTGGGCCAAGTAGGAGCTGGGGGTCGGGGGGGGGGAAGCATGAACCTCTTCAACCCACTTCACCCTCTCCCAGCTGACTAGGTCCCTCCCTCCATGGGCCCCTGCTTACCTGGGGCAGGCCGGGGCTTGTCAGGGGTCCTGGGGTCTCGCTGGGGGTCCCTAGGCTCACGGAGGCACAGCAGGCTTACACTTTTACTTGAGCTATACATGGTTCTGTGATGTGATATAAACATGTCATTCATTATATTTACTCTCTTTCCAACCAGTTGGACACAGCAGTCTTACCTTGTACTTGATAAGAGATGTCAAAGGAGACCGAATGGATCTGGTGGGTGGACTCTTCCGTAACACCTCTGCATTGAGAGAATTAAATAAAAAAGCTTCAGTGCATGAAGCTAGTTTAAATTTTTAAGTTTCCTCAACAGTTTAACTAGGGCAGGGCAATTGAGGCAGCTGCCCCAGGTGTTGACTTGGAAGGTCGGAGAGTCAGAAAGAAAATGCTGCTACCTCAGCCTTTCAATTGTGCCAGCAGCAGGGTGGCAGCTGGAAGTCGCAGCTGCCCCAGGCTGTGCTGCACTAGGGACCGTAGCATGTTGAGTCAGGATAGAGCAGCCCCGGCTGGCAGGAAGTTTAGGGGGTCAGCCTGCCAGCCCAGGCTGCTTCAGCATGGCCCAACATAGCGCAGAGGGGCTGGCTAGGGCACGAGGGTGCTCCACTGTGGGCCTAGCCAGCAGGTAACCCCTGCACTAAAGCACCCAGCTTCATGCCCCAGCCAGCCCCCTTGGCATCTACACGTGCATTGTGCTGCACTAAATAACACTGCTGCAGGATAGTACTTGTGTTACAAGTGCTAACCTATGGTAGTGTTTATAAGTTTACTGCAGCATAATAGGGTCACACACGTGGATGCAGAGATTTTACTGCAAAGCTAATTAGGCAACTCCACATTAAATCGTTTCATGTAGATGTGTCCTGTGTTTCCTTGAAAACATTGTCAATTGTGCTTGCATTTTTTTCATTGTAGTTTACTTAATTAGTAATGTTGTTTGCATACCTTTTTTTCCATTTTATTCAGGCTCCATTCAGTTATTTTATTGAGCACTAGTCAATTTTACTTTCTGGCCTTCACTATGATGTAATATAAAGAATATGTTTATGTAACAATATAACTGCTTTCACTGGAACTTATTATTACAATGAAAATATCTCTGCTTTTATGTGGCTATATATATATTGGCCTGAATAAACTTACAAATGGCTTTAAAGACTGCAAGTAATATTAATGATCCCCAGTTATTTCCATGCTTTCTTAATTTCATGAACAGGAATAGCATTTTTTGGCTTCATGCTATTATTTAAACATGTAAAATAAGGGATGTTATAAATAGTTGCAATAGGGACCTATGTGGGATGTCTAATTATGGTTACAAGGTGGTAATATGTCTGTATATATAACTGTATGTGAATATGTATATATAAAATATGTTTAAAATTATGAGACCTATTTAAGAAAAAAAGGTGGTATCCTCTTCCGTGTCCTTATTGATGTATAAACTTATTGTTTATCTTTTATAATTATTTGTGATGGGGACAAATAGTGGATTAACTGATGAAAAATGTCTGAGTGAAGGAATGCATTTATCTTCTTAGACATTCTGTTCTATTGACAAAAGGCACAGATGTGAAATTTGTTTCAATAATTAGATTTTTAATTAATGTCTCATAAGTTTGATAAATCATTGCTCTTCATTGCATACGATTCGTAGTTAAAGTTCATGTAAATATAAATATGTTTGGTCATTAGATGACCATTTTAACTGCAGGGTTAGTTTCTGGTATATTTATTCATGTTGCTTATTGCAAAAATCTGTTTGGCACACATGGAGAAACAAGCTGTACCAGTGACATACAATATTTAGTAAGTTACTGTGAAGTGACACAGATTTTTTTGCTGACTGAATGTTAAATATATTGTAAATCTGATCAGTGTCAGTAGTATATTTTCTTTCCAAGTTAGATAGAAAATAGCTTTTCTTATCAATGGCCATTTTGTGCATGATCCTTGATTCTTTGAACACCCAAAACTGCCATTGAAAGAAATACATGTGTTTTTAATGAAGACTAGCCAACTGCCCATCAAGAATGGCGGGAGGGGCGAGAGGGTGGGGATGGAGTGCTGCCACCTAATGCCCCATGCTGCTGCTGTTCTGCCTTTTGCAGAGAGAGGGGTAGGGGAGCCGAGGTCAGTGCTGCCTGCCTCAGCTCCCCCACCCTCTGTCTGGTCCTCGGCGCAGCTTTGGAATCATGGTGGCACTCCCCCACACTTGGAGCACTCTGATTGGATGTTTCCATCAGTCAATCAGAGTGCGAATAAAGCATTACAGGAAGACTTAGGCTTTTATAATATTAGAATTGGGATGTTGAAGGAATGCAAGATCGGGCCTTAAAAGTAATGATTAAAAATGTCTGTATACCGTGCATATTGTTTTCTGATTTTAAGGGTTTTCTTGTTTATTTGTTTGCCTACAGCTGTCGGACAAGCAACCGAAAGAGCTTGATAGGCAATGGCCAGTCTCCAGTTCTGCCTCGGCCTCATTCACCTCTTTCAGCTCATGCAGGTAATCCTCTTGCCTTTGTCTATGCCAGTCTTTCTACTAACACCTTGTAATTCTTCAGGAGAAAAAAAGTAAGTGTTCTTCTCTTCCATGCCATAACTTTTCTACATTGTTTGTAATTGATAATAAAAACTTGAATATAATAATTCAGTTCCAAAATTTGATCCAACTATGCTGAGTTGTGAGACAACCAAAAACTATTCACAAATGACATCTTTTTTGTCACTTGCCTGCTGACATTGATTCCCACAAAGACAACAAATGGAGCATAAGTGTTTGTGGAGAATTCATTAAAAAAAATTGACTTTGTTTAAGAGCTAGAGACGGAGACCCAGCAGCAAAGTGGTGATTTTTTACAGATCAGTATTTAGAAGTTGAACTAGGCTCATGGCAACATGGATGATTTCTTGGCATGAGTGCAAGCTTGGAAGTCAAGAGATTCTAAAGCTTGCTCCTGTCTGACAGGTGACTCTTGTTTGGCAAGTTACTTAACCTCTCTGGGTCAGTTCCTGAGTCTATAAAATGAGAGTAACGCTGATGATGTCAAAGAGCTGTTGAGAAATATCATCATTTTTTATCTTCAAAGTGGCTAAGTGCTAGTATTAACTTATTTTTACGGTAGGTCAAACATGGAATTTGATCTACTTAACATTCCTTTCATTAAACAGTGCATGCAGCACATTCAGGAACTGTTTATGATACTTGACAATAAATCCAGTAGTGGCCAGTGATCTTCTGAATCAGTGAATTCTCTCATGTTGTTGTATTTAACACTTAATATGCATGCTGAATCTTTGCAGTTTTATTTTGTCAGGCATTGTCTGTACCAGGGATTGCTCCTATTTATTCTTATAGTTGTTTCAGTGCATACTGTAGAAGGAAAGCTATGATTTTTTTCATTGGTTTTAGACTAACATAAGCTACACTAATGCAAGTTCTTATTTTTCTTGTGTGTTCTAGAAGTTTATGTTGGTGCCGCCCTTTACGATGGCTGGCTGTTGATGGCTATAATTAGAGGAAATCCTTGGTATAGACAAGTTCTCAGCAGTCTATTTTATGGGATTTGTTGGTCATCCTAGCTGCTTCTGAATTGAATGTGTGTGGGTGCATCTACATGTGTGCCCCACTGTGCAGTTGGCACTGTGCAGTTATTTAGTACTTTTTTTGGCAAGTACTAAATGACTGTGCAGTACCCGCCAGTACTGCACAGTCCCAGTGGTACATGAGTTGTTTCTGACCCTACCACACAGTAGCGGCAGCATTGTTGTTAGTGCCTGCTGACTCTATGTTGCTGTAGCTCGTCACTATGGCGACTGTAGTGTCTTGTGTAGATGCACCCTGTGTGTGTTATTTTTCTTAAATCTGTTGTCCTGTAATGGAAAAATGCTTCTAAAATTCATTGAAAAAGAGAATTTCTGTCTCTGTTGTTTTGTTCCATGCATGTTTCTTGGGAGGTTCAAGTTGCTTCTTAGTAATGTTTGCACTTGCCAGATTCCTCCAGCACATGGAAAATGTGACCATCCCCTTGGGGTGGGTCGGTGGGAAGGGAGAAATCTGGAGTTCACAGGATAAATAAATAAGTATTGTTTTAACAGGTAGATTTGCTGTCCCAGGTTTTGCGGAAAAACGTTAAGTGGAAATGCAACAAGCTCCTTGATGAAGCACCTGTGTTGCAGGATGCTGCATGAAGGACAGTAGCCAAAGATTAGCCTGATTCATTTATAAGCTGACAAGAGCTGAGGGTAGCACATAGCCTGTGGTAGTATTTTGACAGACCATTATGTAGATCTCAGATTTGAATAAGAGGGGAACTTTTGAGTGGGTGAAGTTGGGACTATACATAACTAAGAAGGACAAAGATGATGTGACTTATTAAATAGACTTCTCTTTCATATCAACCAATCAACAACTAAAAGTGGTTTTTGCTTGTGTGTTTAGGGGGAGCTGCTTGGGGATAACTAGTCTGTGGTAGTTTAGATTTCATGTGCAGGTATCTATCCCACAGTATGCATGCCTGGATGGGAATCATCTTAGCTTTTTGTTATTTTTAAGAAAACCTGGTTCTCTGTCCTGCTAAAATAACAAACCAAGACAGGTCAATGTTGTATCATTTCTCAAGTTGATAATTTATTACTAATATCTTTAGTAAAAATCTTGATAATATTCCATGTCCCTTACTCCTTTCTTTGGCCAGTCTGTATCCTGGACTTCTACAGGATCCAAAGACAAATTTGGATTTGTTCTGGTAGGCAAGGGCTGTAACAGCTTGGGCACTATTCATTATTATGTTCACTAGATGTTTCTTTTCAGCTACCTGCACCTAGTCAACTCCTCCAAAGAGGAAAAGCAACAAAGTATGCAACTATAGTCTTAGCCAAGCCAGGAAATTTAGAGGGTTTGTTCCTTTACAGCAGTAGTGCTCAGCCTTTTCACCCTGCAGGATAGGTGGAGTGAGAAAATTGTTTGGGGAGTGGGGGCTGAGTCTCTGTGCTTACACCCCCCCCCCCCCCCCCCCCCAAGGCAGGAAAGTCTGCAGGGGATCAGGGTGGGGAGGGCGGAAGGAAGTGGGCCTGGGACCAGACAGGGATTGGGAGGAAGTGAAGCTCAGCCAGGCCCAGGATCGGGACTGGGGCCTACTGCACCCATGCAACCACCCCTCCCCCCGCACCCAGTGTCGTTGCCCAGTGCCCCAGCCCCACACCACCCAGGGGGCCCAGAACCTGGAGCCAGAGTGGGGCCAGCCTCGACTGTGCCATCCAGCTAGAGGGGCAGAGTCCCCAGGACCCCCGTGCCTGCCCTGAATAGTTTGTTGCTCTCTGAGGGGTGCAGGGAGGGGGTGGCAGCTCCTGTGGCAGCCTGGTCCCGTTCCCCCTCTGCTCTCCCGCCGGGAACAGCTTGGCGCAGCCCCAGCCTGCAGCAGCAGCCTGCCCTACCCCTGCAGATCCGGGGCCACACACTCCCCATGCCTCCCAGGGTGCGGGTAGCAGCGGGAGCCACGCCCCCCTCAGACAAGCCACTTGCAGCTCAGTCCTGCACCCCACCAGCTATGCAGTGCCTGCCTGTCCCCAGCCCCACTCCCTCCCCACCCCTGCTGTGCCAGACGCCCTTGGCCAAGCTGCCTTGTGACCCTAACGTTGTCCTGCATTTGTGGGAGCGAAGCCCCGTTAGCCACCCCCTTCTGCCGCCGATGCCATGAGGGCGAGATCTGGTCCTGTGGAGATGAGTGTGAGCATAATTGCCGCTGCTCCCCTGTTACCAAATTTCCCAACCCATGAGGAGCCCAGTGGGCCAGATTCCATGGCTCTGTGGGCTGGGGTTGAGTACCCCTGCTTTTATGGCAGTTGTAGCCTGTGGGTCATGCTAGTCTTCAGTACTTAAATATTTATCATAGTAGTAGTTGTACAGCTCTGCACCTGGGGCACTACTGGCTTCTGTTGAGCCAGCTGAGGTGGTGTGTTCAGCTCTTGCTAAGGCAATGACTACTTTAGCACCTTTCTCCCACTCCCTCCCCACAAAGACAGTGCCTGGGGCTGCAGCCTTAGTTGTACCCCTCCCCCTTCAGTTACGTTGTTGATATTTGTGTATGTTTTGGTTTTGCTCTTGTCACATTAGCAAGAAAACTAAGCTAATCAGAGAATCATAGAAAACTTGGGTTGGAAGGTATCGCAGGAGGTCATCTAGGACACCCCTCTGCTCAAAACAGGACCATCCCCAACTATATCATCCCAGCCAAGATTTTGTCTCATCAAAATATCAGCCAGGGTGTTTATATATACTTATTTTTAATTTGAGCTCATTTTAATAAGAAATGGTGAGAGGATTTTTGACTGCAACTTCAAGAGATTGCTTATGTCAATTAGTGTCTAAAATGTCATTCATTCAGTGCATGCATCTTTCAGGTATTTAGAAGCACAAAGTACTTGGCCCACTGAAGAACACTGGTACCAATTTCCCAATCACGTGGGGTAGCGCAGATCTATAATATTTGTTTTTTCATGTTGTTTTCTCCCTTGATTGCAGAGTTTGGACAGGTAGCTAACTGCAGAATTTAGCAATCTAAGAAAAATCAAGGAAATTTAATTTAAAAATTGATATCACTGCCTGACCTGAGTTTTCAGGATTAAGTATTTCAGCATTAAGGATTTTAGGATTTGTGGCCTTATTTCCTTTATATAGTTCAACATTTTGGTAATTTGAAGTCATAAATATTTGAAATTCTCTTTTCTAAAGTTTCTGATCAAGACCTAGTTTTTGTGGCAGTTCCTTTGGTGAGAATATTGACATGAATTATACTGTACTTGGCTACTACTCAGTGCTTACCTACGCTTAAGCACAGCTAAGTCAAGAGTAAAGGAAAAGGGACCTCAGTTTGGGGACAGTCCAGAAAAGAAACTATTCAGACAATCTGGAGAATGAAAAGTCACTACTTTAAGAGAGGGGATTAAAACCAAGGTTTGTTCATTTTAGCAGAAGCAGCTAACAGGTAATGTTATTTGCTTTCTGTAACCATCTCGAAGCAGGAAAAAAGTGGACATAAATAAGGTAACTTGGCACAAGGACAGTAAATATAAACTGGGTATGAATACATGTAAACTGGACATCAGAAGATTTATGACTGTCAAAAGAAGGAGGTTCTAGGATTACCTTCTAGTAGAAAGAGTACAGATAAACTAGCTGCCTTATTAAAGGTAGGGGTCAGGTTTTTGGAAGGAATGATATGACTTAAGGTATGTACAAACAGGATCTGATCTATGATCACATGACTTACTTTAATCTATTTAATCGTAGTTTGTATTTTAAGCTCCCCAAATATATGTATAGATTGTTACTTAGATCAGTCTAATAGGGCTATGCAAAGCTTCGGCAGCTGATTCAGTTTGGAGAAGATTCAGCCCAATTGGCGACTGAATCTCCGAATTGAATTGGGAGACCTATTAAAAAGTCTGAATTGATTCGGAAGCCTCTGAAGGGGAGGGACAGGTCTCCCAGTGATTCGGAAGCCT